CAGCTTCAACTCAGCATGAATACAGGATGTGTCTGATGTCCTTTCAGAGTAGAAGACTTCCCATGGCATATGCCAAACTACACACACGGCAACCCCAAGCCTCGGCCTGTCACATGTTGGAAGGCCTGTGATCCAGAATACACTGAGAGTGGTGGACGTTTTTATTGTATATATGTAGGCCATAAAAATGCTATGAGATGTCGGCAAGCAGTTGTATTATGTTGGACTGAGTTACAGATAAGCCGCTGGTGTCCCTCGACACTACTATCACTAAAATTTACAAAATATATAATGCCCTGCTTCTTGTGATATGTAAGACCTCACTCTTTTCAGTTTGACTAGAAGCATGATACCACGGTTCATTTCAACTTGCAAACATGAACCAAGAAATGTTTACTTACAGTCATTGCACGAATCTGCTGGTTAATGTACACACACTGGGTAGTCATGAACGTTACATGTCGAAGTATGTGCTAACTTCATTCATTTGGAGAAGTGCCTTGTATCTTGGCTTACTGGCTATATGTCGGGCACGGAGCGGACAGTGACGGCGTAACGTGATTATACTGATGGGCTTGAAACGAAATAGGACGGCTACTTTCGGTTTTTCTTCCAGGAAATGAAGATTGCAATCTATAAGCATCATATATATGTCAAGTATCCTGATGACAGTGACTGCGAGAATACTGATCTACACACACTGTATCTTACCGACCCTACTTTAACACTTTTCAGCTTCATCTTTTTGACAAATTGATAGAATTAGACATTAGTCCCTCTCCAGTTAAATAGATAGCCTTATTTCCATCTAACAGAGCCCAATATGTCAAACTGAAAAGTACTCGTTCTCAGAATGTATCTGTTAATACCGGTGCTCCACGAGGATGTGTATTGTCTCCAATGCATTTCACTTTGTACATTAATACCGGTGTTCCACAAGGATGTGTATTGTCTCCAATACTTTTCACTCTTTACACTAATGATTGTGTAAGTTCTCAACCTATCTGTTCTAGATTGAAGTTCGCCGATGATATAGCCATCAGCAGTCTAATCTTTGACAATGAGTATGCATACAAAGACGAAATAAATGCTTTTGTTAAGTGGTGTAATGAAAACGTATTGGAACTTAATGAGTCATTGGTTTTGGCTCCTTTTCACTCAGTAATAAAAACAAACTAAACACGATTATAAAACAAGGAGAGAAAATGACTAATCGTGTCTTTCAAAGAATAGATGAACTTCATTGAGGAAAGGCTCTAAATATAGCTACAAATATCATTACTGATCCACTGGCCGTCGGTAGAAATATACCGACCTGCAAATCCAAGCATCATGAAATGTCTTTTGTACCAACGTCAATTTCTTTGTTGAATAACCGTTAATGTTCTCCATTCTCATGCTTTGTACATTTGTAGGTAATTATGATAATGTTTGTATGTATTTATTTGATATACATGTATTTATGCTCAATCAGATGTCTACAAATTCTCTCACGGACAATAAATCTTTGTCTTATCTTACTGATATAGAGATTATTACACGAGCAAGTGTGTCTTACGACTTATATCAAACGAGTGTGAAATTGTGTATTGCCCGAGCGAGGGCGAGGACAATACATAATTTTGCATGTGTTTCGTATAAGTCGTACTTGCTCGAGTGTAATAATTTCTTTATTATCAGATTCTATTTTATTCATGTACATTTGCAAGTGTTACGGCCCTGTTAATTGACGTCACGTTCCATTGTTTAATGACGTCACAGACGACGAAATACAGAAACTATAGTCGCTAGGCAAAAGTGATATGCCCCCATATGATATATATGACACAGACTGTTTATGTTTCACCATATGGATAATAGCTTATCTTACTTTTATATGGCCGTATTGTTGTATTACGTCAGTTGCAGCAATTCAATATACCTACTCAATAACGCTTGTCAGGTTTGTGTTGATTCCATCACATCATTTGCTTTGTAGTGACATAAAAATATATATAGAAACTTGCACACATTTGTTATATAGGTATGCATTCGTAATGTCTCGCATATCCATCGGAAAGCTAAAACTGTTACACAGACCGAGTCTTTTTCTTCGACTTCGTCTTGTTGACACCAAGATGTCAAAAACAACATGGATAATAATTACTGGTTAGTTCATTACTGACGGGATAGGCATGATGGTCATTGTGGCAGGATTAGGTTTACATCATTTGATCTCTCTTTGAATCCAAGAGTGACTGTGTCTGAGTTTAATTTCAAATGGATGTCTGTTTCATTCCCAATCCATTCTAGTAGATCTTTTGACAAACTTGCATTCATTTAGTAGATGAATTATCGAATCTATTTCAACATCATAAAATGTATAAAGTGGTGATTCTATTATTTTTATTTGTGTATATTTATATTTGTTGTGAGAATTCTATGGATAAATACGATATTGAAGCCATCTGTGCATAGCACTATAAGTATGAATAATCGATTTATGAAGCAGATACAGTCTATACGTTAAGCCGCTATTGATACAAGCTTAGCTTTACGTGCAAGGTCCGGGTCCAAAATATACTGAGTCAAAAAAAGAAACTTCACAAAATTTAATTTGAAAAATAATGAATAATTTTTCTCTGATGATACATCTATGTATCCGAAATGGGATCCCTCTCTTTCGACTCTAGAAAAACGTTAGCAAAACCCACCCAAACCCATCGAATGACGTTAGTGCCAAATCAGGTTTTGCACGTGCAGTCGATCACGTTATCTTCGCATCGAAGTTTTCTTCATATGCACGTGTTTGCATTGGCCTAACGGTACTTGAAATGCCACGATTATCAAATGTGCAACGTGAACGTGCCGTTGGCATGTTGCAAGCGGGAAGATCAGTTATTGACGTCGCAAGAGCAATGGGATGCAGCCGTCGAACTGTGTATGACTTGCGAGGTCGTCTACAACAAACTGGCACCACTTCTGATCGCCCAAGGTCGGGTCGTCCACGTGTGACGTCACGAGCAGAAGACCGTCAAACCGTCCTACGTCACCTACGTGACAGATTTCTGCCGGCTACACGAACCAGGGCTGAGATGTTTAGAGGTCGACTGTCCTCACAGACCATTCGAAATCGGTTGCGGGCTGCCAATCTCCATTCTCGACGTCCATATCGTGGGCCAATATTGACGCCGTTTCATCAACGTCAACGTCTGCTGTGGGCCCAACGTCACCTCCGATGGACCCAGAGAGACTGGAATCGAGTCGTCTTTAGCGATGAATCCAGGTTAACCCTCAGATTCGCGGACGGCAGGCATAGAGTCTGGAGACGACGTCGTGAACGGTATGCCCAATGTTGTGTACAGGAAGTCAACAGATTCGGGGGCGGAAGTTGCATGGTGTGGGGTGCTTTCTGTGGGAACAACCGTTCCCGACTTCTGGTCATCCGTGGAAACCTCACAGCTGCTGCTTACCGCGACCAGGTGCTCACCCCTGAACTCGTTCCTTTCATGACGGCTCATGGCCCAGGTCTACAGTTCCAGCATGATAATGCTCGGCCGCATAACGCGATGTTGACACGAAATTTCCTTCAAAACGCCGGAATCAACGTCATGGACTGGCCATCGAGGTCCCCTGACCTTAATCCGATAGAGCACGTTTGGGATGCACTTGGGAGAAGGCTTCGTGGTCGTAAGAACCAACCTCAGAATTTGCAGGAACTTGGCTCTGCCTTGCAAGAGCAATGGCGCAGAATCCCCAACCACGTGTTCACAAGCATCAGTCAGTCGATGAGGAGACGGTGTTTGGCAGTGGTGAATGCGCGGGGCGGCCATACACGATATTTTGGAACGGCGGTGTAGCCTATTGGAACTGATTATGGCACTGTCAGTGTATCGAGTACATCACACAGATCTCAGCAATGAAATAATAACAATTTAACCATCTTACCATCTCTTGTTCTTTTATAGTGCCCTGAAGAAAGAATGTGAAGTTTCTTTTTTTGACTCAGTATTACAAACTGTACATCCCAAACAGTGTTTATCATCACGTTACAATATCTATACCCTGATCTAAATCTCATCCCGCCACAATGGCTGTCATTGTAAACACACGATGTGACATGTCGAGGTCTGCTGTAGGCTTTTAAGTACGCCAACAAAGTGTGTCCATGTCGGAAAGTAGTCTTGACGTTGCATTTTGAGCCACGTGTCGGTCTTGGTGGTAGATACAAAGTGGGTTTACTAAGTGCAAAGATTAATGAAAGTTAAGGTATTTTGGTATTGGGGATTTTAGCGTAACCATGGTGAGCACTAACGGTTTTTATCATCACACACGATAACATAAAATTCTTTGAGAGGCATTTAGAAGTGGGAGTACAAAAGAAGGTTTAGATATATGGACGAACAACGTCTAAATTAAAATTAGAGCGACATTTCAGGGGAGGTTCTAACATCGTTATCAGGTGATGTACAGAGTATGGACTGAGAGGCATACATATACAAATATGAGTATATACGTTGTTTTCAGTGTATTGGACTTCAATCGATTTGGTGGAGAAGCCAGTTAACTACACAGCAGGGTAATATCAGGGTTAAAACATTAAGAATTGAAGCTGTCGTTTAAACAATAACCTTCACAAAAGTGGGAAGTTTATTCCTGTTCTAATATATACAAATGGTAGAGATAAGCTTCATATACAAGTGTAAAACAAACCATCTGAAATTATTTACAAGTAATCTGGTGTCATCAAGAGTATATCAAGCTTATCCGCATCTGATTACATGTTGCTGTTGTATGTTCCACATAGATAAATACAGTACATTCTTTGGTATTATTTGAATGATGGATAAATCATGAGTATAATGAAGGGCCTCTCAAATTATCATATGTGTCTGTATAACACATGTTATTCACATACAGATGTGTCAATGACATTCTAATGATATCCAGTGATATCATGTTCTGACGGACATCTCTATACAACTGTCGTGATAGAATATGGACACATTAAGATGGGAGACCTAGTGTTACCTGGTGACACATTATGATGGCAGACCTAGTGTTACACGGTGGTGACACATTATGATGGCAGACCTAGTGTTACACGGTGGTGACTCTTTATGATGGCAGTCCTAGTGTTACATGGTGACACATTATGATGGCAGACTTAGTGTTACATGGTGGTGACACTTTATGATGGCAGTCCTAGTGTTACCTGGTGGTGACACATTATGATGGCAGACCTAGTGTTACCTGGTGGTGACACATTATGATGGCAGTCCTAGTGTTACCTGGTGGTGACACGTTATGATGGCAGACCTAGTGTTACCTGGTGGTGACACATTATGATGGCAGACATGGTGTTACCTGGTGGTGACACATTATGATGGCAGACATGGTGTTACCTGGTGGTGACACATTATGATGGCAGACATGGTGTTACCTGGTGGTGACACATTATGGTGTCAGTCCTGGTTTTACCTGGTGGTGACACGTTATGGTGTCAGACCTAGTGTTACCTGGTGGTGACACATTATGATGGCAGACCTAGTGTTACCTGCTGGTGTCTTACCTATGACAGACAGTGACTCCTTATCGCTAAAGGACAAAGTAGCTGGTTTATGAAATAACCAATAGCATCAGCTGTTCTGAAGCACCTTCAGTTGACTTTCATATTGACCTTCAAAGGGCACGGCTAAAGAAAGTGAAAAGGGATGAGACAGAAATCAAATCAGTAAACAATTGAACAGTTTCATATCTCGTTGGTTAAAATCCCGAATACAGGTTGGGTCAAGAAAACCCACGAGTTGACAATGTTCCGCAGGGTGTATGTTTCTGGAAGTCGTATGTGCCATGTAACAAACGTTTCTAGAACTGAAACGCCTAAAATACATTCTTTTGCAACCTGTTTGAGCTTTCGAAGTTCTCGCTCATAGAATAGGTGGGCTTTCTGAAGGAAATAATCTAAGAAAGGTTTCAGCGGTTTTTTTATCAGCCACTTCTCGGCTGTGGTGCCCATACCATCCAGGATAATCTCCAGCTACATAGTCTGACCTATTTGTGTCAGACATACGTATGTCCGATAGATTTGCCCATGTTTGTGAAGTGAATGGTTGCATCTGTATTCCATTTGCTTCAAGATGTAACAACCCTTCAAGGTTTTGTGTGTGCTCTTCTGGTGTAATAAAGTGTGGTCCCGGTCCTTTCTTGTTCCAAAATATCTTGTATATACACACAAAATGAATGTGTAACGTGACATTGGGGTAGACCTTTTTTAGTCTGCCCAGAAAGACGCTAATGGGTTTAGCGCAGGCCCCACATGGGCTATAATTCTGAAATATTTCAATTTTGGTAGTTCCTGATTTTCTTAATTTATGTTCTAATGTTCCACTTTTAAGGTCTATATTTAATTGTTGCATCAATTCTTCTTCTGCATGTCGACAGAGTCCATTCTGACTCCTGCTTGACTGGAATGCTCCTACCTTTTCACTTCCTACGACACACACAGCTATACCCATTCTTGGACGCGGAAACAAAGGGCACCCAGTCATCCAAAATATCCGTAGAATTCTGTCATCAGGTAGTCCTTTCATTTCTCCACTGGACTCCACCTATAAGTAACATGTGTAACGTTTAGTTTCTGTGAGAAAGGCCACACAAATATAGAGAATGCATATGAGTGATAAGTATATACATCAGGTTGGGTTCACTTCTAGTTTGATATGTGAAGTTTGGCACCTTGTTGCATGGTCCTGGATTATGTTGGGAATTAAACCCCATTATGTGAAATACTCTGGACTTATTCACAATAACATCCTCGTTTGGAGTTGGAGTAGAACGTCATAACGTCATGAGACAGCCGCTAATGGCGCTCAGAACAACAAACACATGGACAAACCACTCATATAGACATGAGCGAGCAACGTGCAGTGACGTGTTACAGAGGGGGATAGAAAGATGGCGATGTCCCTTCTACAGTGACGGTATGGTGGCGAATCAGACCAGGATGTGTATTGATTTAAACTGAGGTATCAAACACCGGTAAGTGCTCATATACTGGTAATTAAGAATGTTTAGTCTGTCTCTCCACATAAGTACCTACGCATATTCAATTTACCATTTTTCGTGTCTTTTTACCAATTTCAACCAAATTAAATTATGTAACCGGAATCCTAATGGCTGCTGCAACCTTTTTGGTATGAGCGTATCCGTCCCGTTCCACTGACACTGACTATCTGATGACTGCCATGCTATTACCACCTATTGGTAGAGGCCGCTGTGGTCAGAATGTCAACGAAGGTTCACACAAATACCATATTCTGAAATTATAATATATTTTATACTAATTTGACGGTTGCAGGAATACAGCCGCTGTATACGAAGTTGACGCCACACTGTCTACACGTATACCTTGTCATTCCCCCCCTGCTGCCTTCATATCGACCCTGATCTACCCTTATATGTCATGGGAGATCCAAGTAATCCTGGTTTGATGGGTATGACACATAGCAAACTATTTTCGTTGTTTCATTCTGTCTTTGTTAAAATTTATAAGTACCCAAAATGCGGGAGTTGAAACACTGTTTTGCCTTTAATAGACATGTGATAGGCACACAACACCGGTAGACGGTGGCATACGCCACTAGCTGCGTGTCACGTCATGTTTACATCGTCATGTTGGCTGTCGTGGTCGGGTATATTTATACCTAGAACCAGTTTTTGTGGAAACTAATGTTGCCACGCCTAGCCGTCCATTGATTGTATCAATGGGAGCTGACACCTATTTTTGTATGACTTGTGTTGGTCTTCAGTCTGTAATCTGTACATTTGTTGGCTTATTCTGACTGAAGTGTTGTATCGTCACGACATTGATGTCTGGCTATGTCAAATGAAATCGTGTCTAAATATAATCTTAACAAGGGCTAAATGCTACACCCCTGCACAACACTGTCGCTGTTGACGACAAGGCTGGTGTATCTTGTGTTGGAAAGTCTAAGTAGTAGTTCCCTACCTGTAATGTTATGTGCAATAAACCTGTCAAGCATGGACGCGATCTCTCTGGTTAGGATGCAGATATCATATAACGGACTTTCGTGGGACATGAACATACTCTGGCTAATTAAATCCAAAGTAACGTTGAGAGAAAGGCGAATAATACGATCCCTGACTTCGTTGCTATAACAACCACTATTTCATTTTGTATTGCCATTGCACTGTCATTGAATGTAGTACTCGTTCGTGTAAGGCCGGTGAACGTAATATGCAGTAATTTGTTTTGAATTATGAACCTAGTTAATTATATATAACATTTGATGTTGTCTTGTTTTGTTTCACATTGAATACTTAACACTTTTTGTCAACATTACATAAGATGATGCGGAGAATTAAGTGAGTGATAAATACGTTACTGCTCTCGTCCACATTAAATATCGCAATTAATCCATTTCGACATTCACTCGTAGTAAAACAACGATATGTAACGAGGAGTATTGTTGGGAAACTAGTTAGTTTGTGTGTAGAAACTCAATCTCTTGGGCATCAGTTTTTACACTGCCTGCACAAAACATTCTTCAAAGATACGTATATTGCTTCAGGGTAGGAGCAAGACGGTAGCGCTTGGTCCAACGGTCAAGTTCTACAACTTCAGTGTATAATAACATCTTGCCCAGATTGTGAGGAACATTCCATCTCATGGCACACCATCGTGGATGGAGTGGACCATTGCATGTCATCGTATCTGGATGGTGTGGACCATTGTATGTCATCGTATCTAGATGGTGTGGACCATTGTATGTCATTGTATCCAAATGGTGTTCACTATTGTATGTCCTCGCTATACTAAGTATCAACACTAAATGAAACTGTCAACAAAATACTAATAAAGTATAGAAGAATAAGACGATTATGTTTTGCGGTGCACGTGTTGGAAGGAGTAATTACACGATGAAAATGCTGCGTGAAGATTGCGTGCATATGGGGATGTGAAATCACGCATGTGCCTGGCAGTTTACAGTATAACAATCAACTTTCGATTACCTGCTAAGAATCACAGAGAATCTAAACCGATTGTCTTTAGATATCAAATATATCACCACGAATTGATAAAGTTACAAATATCCTAGGTTTGCCAGGGATATGTTTACTTTATCAACGAGTGTTGATATATTTGATATCAGAAGACACGAGGGTGAGATAATGGAAATCACTCTTCATTAGTTTCAAACAAAAAATGAACATATCTGATCGCAGTACTGCCATTAGACTTACAGTGCAGCGATGTCATAGCATTGTGACGTCATCAAGTTCATGACGTCATAGCATTGTGAGGGCAAAATACAAAATCTACTGTCATAGAGAATATTATTTAGGTTCATTATTACGAATTATACGAACGAGTGTCCTTCCTATGGTAACTGACCGAGCGAAAGCGAGGTCAGAAACCATAGGAAGGTCACGAGTTTCGTATAATTCGTATGTAATGAGACCGAGTGTGGTATTTTATTTATTACCCACTTCTTACATGCATTAAACTGACAAAATAGCGTATTTTTGTTATTTTGTGGTTTCAAACCGAAACCGGTTTCATAAAGAGGTTGCGGAAGAGTTTTGTACAGTAGTACAATATTTGCATGACGTCACACTGTAATGACGTCACTGCCTTGGTAACCGACGTCACGATGCATGTCAGTTGCCATCGCCTCGTACAGCCTCCTACAGTAAACTACTCCGTAGCACCCCGTTTAATTGTTTGCAGTTGCTTCATTCGACTAACATCGCTAGTGGAAACATTGCGTTTATGTTTTTCAACGGATATAATGTCTCAGTTCGACTCACAATTAAACAGCGACACGGCAACGTTCGCCATGTTTACATTCCAACAATGCATTTAAGTTGTAGAATGAATGAATTCACGTGTTTGTTAAGAATGAAAAAATAGTTACGTCAGAATGTGACCCAATTGAGAGGTCATCGGTTATCCAATCAAATCGTTATAATCTCAGGTCAAGTCGTTACGACACAGGTCAACGCGATAAGACACTCGTGTGACGTACGAGATTAGTATGCAACTATCCATACCTTGACCACATGGGTAATAAAACATGATATCTCCTAGGAATAAAAGACGTTGCTATCCAAAAGGTTTGTTCTATGTAATAGACTACTTGTTACTTACAGGATACTGCCCGTTGTTTTGAAGTCGACTGTACAACATCGTGTTGTCTGACCGTTGCGTCATAGCAGTTCCCTAAAACATTCATTGTTAACAGATTACAGTCGTTATTGAATGATATGACCCATGGAAAACCACTTTCTTTTCCTCATGAAATTACTGCTGGAAGGAGTAATTACACGATGAAAATGCTGCGTGAAGATTGCGTGCATATGGGGAAGTGAAATCACGCATGTGCCTGGCAGTTTACAGTATAACAATCAACTTTCGATTACCTGCTAATGTACAGAGAATCTCAACCGAGTGTCTTTTGATATCAAATATATCACCACGAGTTCACAAAGTTACAAATATCCGAGGCTTGCCAGGGATATGTTTACTTTATCAACGAATGTTGATATATGTGATATCAGAAGACACGAAGGTGAGATTCTATTTATCATCAAAAATCACTTATTTTATTAGTTTCCAATAAAAAAATGAACATACCTGATCACAGTACTGCCATTAGACTTACAGTGCAGAGATGCCATAGCATTGTGACGTCATCAAGTTCATGACGTCATAGCATTGTGAGGGCAATATACAAAATCTACTGTCAATATGATATCTCCTAGGAATAAAAGACGTTGTTATCCAAAACGTTTGTTCTATGTAAAAGACTACTTGTTACTTACAGGATACTGCCCGTTGTTTTGAAGTCGACTGTACAACATCGTGTTGTCTGACCGTTGCGTCATAGCAGTTCCCTAAAACATTCATTGTTAACAGATTACAGTCGTTATTGAATGATATGACGCATGGAAAACCACTTTCTTTTCCTCATGAAATTACTGCTGGAAGGAGTAATTACACGATGAAAATGCTGCGTGAAGATTGCGTGCATATGGGGAAGTGAAATCACGCATGTGCCTGGCAGTTTACAGTATAACAATCAACTTTCGATTACCTGCTAATGTACAGAGAATCTCAACCGAGTGTCTTTTGATATCAAATATATCACCACGAGTTCACAAAGTTACAAATATCCGAGGCTTGCCAGGGATATGTTTACTTTATCAACGAATGTTGATATATGTGATATCAGAAGACACGAAGGTGAGATTCTATTTATCATCAAAAATCACTTATTTTATTAGTTTCCAATAAAAAAATGAACATACCTGATCACAGTACTGCCATTAGACTTACAGTGCAGAGATGCCATAGCATTGTGACGTCATCAAGTTCATGACGTCATAGCATTGTGAGGGCAATATACAAAATCTACTGTCAATATGATATCTCCCAAGAATAAAAGACGTTGTTATCCAAAACGTTTGTTCTATGTAAAAGACACCATCGTGGATGGAGTGGACCATTGCATGTCATCGTATCTGGATGGTGTGGACCATTGTATGTCATCGTATCTAGATGGTGTGGACCGTTGTATGTCATTGTATCCAAATGGTGTTCACTATTGTATTCATTGTTATACTAAGTATCAACACTAAATGAAACTGTCAACAAAATACTAATAAAGCATAGAAGAATAAGACGATTATGTTTTCCTCATGCACGTGTTGGAAGGAGTAATTACACGATGAAAATGCTGCGTGAAGATTGCGTGCATATGGGGATGTGAAATCACGCATGTGCCTGGCAGTTTACAGTATAACAATCAACTTTCGATTACCTGCTAAGAATCACAGAGAATCTAAACCGATTGTCTTTAGATATCAAATATATCACCACGAATTGATAAAGTTACAAATATCCTAGGTTTGCCAGGGATATGTTTACTTTATCAACGAGTGTTGATATATTTGATATCAGAAGACTGAAGGAGGGTGAGATAATGGAAATCACTCTTCATTAGTTTCAAACAAAAATGAACATATCTGATCGCAGTACTGCCATTAGACTTACAGTGCAGCGATGTCATAGCATTGTGACGTCATCAAGTTCATGACGTCATAGCATTGTGAGGGCAAAATACAAAATCTACTGTCATAGAGAATACTACACAAGGTCTCATTACATACGAATTATACGAAACGAGTGTCCTTCCTATGGTAACTGACCAAGCGAAAGCGAGGTCAGAAACCATAGGAAGGTCACGAGTTTCGTATAATTCGTATGTAATGAAACTCGAGTGTGGTATTTTATTTATTACCCACTTCTTACATGCATTAAACTGACAAAATAGCGTATTTTTGTTATTTTGTGGTTTCAAACCGAAACCGGTTTCATAAAGAGGTTGCGGAAGAGTTTTGTACAGTAGTACAATATTTGCATGACGCCACACTGTAATGACGTCACTGCCTTGGTAACCGACGTCACGATGCATGTCAGTTGCCATCGCCTCGTTACAGCCTCCTACAGTAAACTACTCCGTAGCACCCGCTTAATTGTTTGCAGTTGCTTCATTCGACTAACATCGCTAGTGGAAACATTGGCGTTTATGTTTTTCAACGGATATAATGTCTCAGTTCGACTCACAATTAAACAGCGACACGGCAACGTTCGCCATGTTTACATTCCAACAATGCATTTAAGTTGTAGAATGAATGAATTCACGTGTTTGTTAAGAATGAAAATAGTTACGTCAGAATGTGACCCAATTGAGAGGTCATCGGTTATCCAATCAAATCGTTATAATCTCAGGTCAAGTCGTTACGACACAGGTCAACGCGATAAGACACTCGTGTGACGTGCGAGATTAGTATGCAACTATCCATACCTTGACCACATGGGTAATAAAACATGATATCTCCTAGGAATAAAAGACGTTGCTATCCAAAAGGTTTGTTCTATGTAATAGACTACTTGTTACTTACAGGATACTGCCCGTTGTTTTGAAGTCGACTGTACAACATCGTGTTGTCTGACCGTTGCGTCATAGCAGTTCCCTAAAACATTCATTGTTAACAGATTACAGTCGTTATTGAATGATATGACCCATGGAAAACCACTTTCTTTTCCTCATGAAATTACTGTTGGAAGGAGTAATTACATGATGAAAATGCTGCGTGAAGATTGCGTGCATATGGAGAAGTGAAATCACGCATGTGCCTGGCAGTTTACAGTATAACAATCAACTTTCGATTACCTGCTAATGTACAGAGAATCTCAACCGAGTGTCTTTTGATATCAAATATATCACCACGAGTTCACAAAGTTACAAATATCCGAGGCTTGCCAGGGATATGTTTACTTTATCAACGAATGTTGATATATGTGATATCAGAAGACACGAAGGTGAGATTCTATTTATCATCAAAAATTACTTATTTTATTAGTTTCCAATAAAAATGAACATACCTGATCACAGTACTGCCATTAGACTTACAGTGCAGAGATGCCATAGCATTGTGACGTCATCAAGTTCATGACGTCATAGCAATGTGAGGGCAATATACAAAATCTACTGTCAATATGATATCTCCTAGGAATAAAAGACGTTGTTATCCAAAACGTTTGTTCTATGTAAAAGACTACTTGTTACTTACAGGATACTGCCCGTTGTTTTGAAGTCGACTGTACAACATCGTGTTGTCTGACCGTTGCGTCATAGCAGTTCCCTAAAACATTCATTGTTAACAGATTACAGTCGTTATTGAATGATATGACGCATGGAAAACCACTTTCTTTTCCTCATGAAATTACTGCTGGAAGGAGTAATTACACGATGAAAATGCTGCGTGAAGATTGCGTGCATATGGGGAAGTGAAATCACGCATGTGCCTGGCAGTTTACAGTATAACAATCAACTTTCGATTACCTGCTAATGTACAGAGAATCTCAACCGAGTGTCTTTTGATATCAAATATATCACCACGAGTTCACAAAGTTACAAATATCCGAGGCTTGCCAGGGATATGTTTACTTTATCAACGAATGTTGATATATGTGATATCAGAAGACACGAAGGTGAGATTCTATTTATCATCAAAAATCACTTATTTTATTAGTTTCCAATAAAAAAATGAACATACCTGATCACAGTACTGCCATTAGACTTACAGTGCAGAGATGCCATAGCATTGTGACGTCATCAAGTTCATGACGTCATAGCATTGTGAGGGCAATATACAAAATCTACTGTCAATATGATATCTCCCAAGAATAAAAGACGTTGTTATCCAAAACGTTTGTTCTATGTAAAAGACACCATCGTGGATGGAGTGGACCATTGCATGTCATCGTATCTGGATGGTGTGGACCATTGTATGTCATCGTATCTAGATGGTGTGGACCATTGTATGTCATTGTATCCAAATGGTGTTCACTATTGTATGTCCTCGCTATACTAAGTATCAACACTAAATGAAACTGTCAACAAAATACTAATAAAGTATAGAAGAATAAGACGATTATGTTTTGCGGTGCACGTGTTGGAAGGAGTAATTACACGATGAAAATGCTGCGTGAAGATTGCGTGCATATGGGGATGTGAAATCACGCATGTGCCTGGCAGTTTACAGTATAACAATCAACTTTCGATTACCTGCTAAGAATCACAGAGAATCTAAACCGATTGTTTTAGATATCAAATATATCACCACGAATTGATAAAGTTACAAATATCCTAGGTTTGCCAGGGATATGTTTACTTTATCAACGAGTGTTGATATATTTGATATCAGAAGACACGAGGGTGAGATAATGGAAATCACTCTTCATTAGTTTCAAACAAAAAATGAACATATCTGATCGCAGTACTGCCATTAGACTTACAGTGCAGCGATGTCATAGCATTGTGACGTCATCAAGTTCATGACGTCATAGCATTGTGAGGGCAAAATACAAAATCTACTGTCATAGAGAATACTACACGAGGTCTCATTACATACGAATTATACGAATCGAGTGTCCTTCCTATGGTAACTGACCGAGCGAAAGCGAGGTCAGAAACCATAGGAAAGGTCACGAGTTTCGTATATAATCTGTATGTAATGAGACCCGAGTGTGGTATTTTATTTCATTACCCACTTCTTACATGCATTAAACTGACAAAATAGCGTATTTTTGTTATTTTGTGGTTTCAAACCGAAACCGGTTTCATAAAGAGGTTGCGGAAGAGTTTTGTACAGTAGTACAATATTTGCATGACGTCACACTGTAATGACGTCACTGCCTTGGTAACCGACGTCACGATGCATGTCAGTTGCCATCGCCTCGTACAGCCTCCTACAGTAAACTACTCCGTAGCACCCCGTTTAATTGTTTGCAGTTGCTTCATTCGACTAACATCGCTAGTGGAAACATTGCGTTTATGTTTTTCAACGGATATAATGTCTCAGTTCGACTCACAATTAAACAGCGACACGTCAACGTTCGCCATGTTTACATTCCAACAATGCATTTAAGTTGTAGAATGAATGAATTCACGTGTTTGTTAAGAATGAAAAAATAGTTACGTCAGAATGTGACCCAATTGAGAGGTCATCGGTTATCCAATCAAATCGTTATAATCTCAGGTCAAGTCGTTACGACACAGGTCAACGCGATAAGACACTCGTGTGACGTACGAGATTAGTATGCAACTATCCATACCTTGACCACATGGGTAATAAAACATGATATCTCCTAGGAATAAAAGACGTTGCTATCCAAAAGGTTTGTTCTATGTAATAGACTACTTGTTACTTACAGGATACTGCCCGTTGTTTTGAAGTCGACTGTACAACATCGTGTTGTCTGACCGTTGCGTCATAGCAGTTCCCTAAAACATTCATTGTTAACAGATTACAGTCGTTATTGAATGATATGACCCATGGAAAACCACTTTCTTTTCCTCATGAAATTACTGCTGGAAGGAGTAATTACACGATGAAAATGCTGCGTGAAGATTGCGTGCATATGGGGAAGTGAAATCACGCATGTGCCTGGCAGTTTACAGTATAACAATCAACTTTCGATTACCTGCTAATGTACAGAGAATCTCAACCGAGTGTCTTTTGATATCAAATATATCACCACGAGTTTAGAAAGTTACAAATATCCGAGGCTTGCCAGGGATATGTTTACTTTATCAACGAATGTTGATATATGTGATATCAGAAGACAAGAAGGTGAGATTCTATTTATCATCAAAAATTACTTATTTTATTAGTTTTCCAATAAAAATGAACATACCTGATCACAGTACTGCCATTAGACTTACAGTGCAGAGATGCCATAGCATTGTGACGTCATCAAGTTCATGACGTCATAGCATTGTGAGGGCAATATACAAAATCTACTGTCAATATGATATCTCCCAAGAATAAAAGACGTTGTTATCCAAAACGTTTGTTCTATGTAAAAGACTACTTGTTACTTACAGGATACTGCCCGTTGTTTTGAAGTCGACTGTACAACATCGTGTTGTCTGACCGTTGCGTCATAGCAGTTCCCTAAAACATTCATTGTTAACAGATTACAGTCGCTATTGAATGATATGACGCATGGAAAACCACTTTCTTTTCCTCATGAAATTACTGCTGGAAGGAGTAATTACACGATGAAAATGCTGCGTGAAGATTGCGTGCATATGGGGAAGTGAAATCACGCATGTGCCTGGCAGTTTACAGTATAACAATCAACTTTCGATTACCTGCTAATGTACAGAGAATCTCAACCGAGTGTCTTTTGATATCAAATATATCACCACGAGTTCACAAAGTTACAAATATCCGAGGCTTGCCAGGGATATGTTTACTTTATCAACGAATGTTGATGTATGTGATATCAGAAGACACGAAGGTGAGATTCTATTTATCATCAAAAATCACTTATTTTATTAGTTTCCAATAAAAAAATGAACATACCTGATCACAGTACTGCCATTAGACTTACAGTGCAGAGATGCCATAGCATTGTGACGTCATCAAGTTCATGACGTCATAGCATTGTGAGGGCAATATACAAAATCTACTGTCAATATGATATCTCCCAAGAATAAAAGACGTTGTTATCCAAAACGTTTGTTCTATGTAAAAGACTACTTGTTACTTACAGGATACTGCCCGTAGTTTTGAAGTCGACTGTACAACATCGTGTTGTCTGACCGTTGCGTCATAGCAGTTCCCTAAAACATTCATTGTTAACAGATTACAGTCGTTATTGAATGATATGACCCATGGAAAACCACTTTCTTTTCCTCATGAAATTACTGCTGGAAGGAGTAATTACACGATGAAAATGCTGCGTGAAGATTGCTTGCATATGGGGAAGTGAAATCACGCATGTGCCTGGCAGTTTACAGTATAACAATCAACTTTCGATTACCTGCTAATGTACAGAGAATCTCAACCGAGTGTCTTTTGATATCAAATATATCACCACGAGTTCACAAAGTTACAAATATCCGAGGCTTGCCAGGGATATGTTTACTTTATCAACGAATGTTGATATATGTGATATCAGAAGACAAGAAGGTGAGATTCTATTTATCATCAAAAATCACTTATTTTATTAGTTTCCAATAAAAAAATGAACATACCTGGCCCCGAGGTTATAAAAAGATTTTCGTGCTCAACTCAATTTCATGCTCAAATTTGTGCTCATACTCAAAATCGCGCTCAGCTGAGTATCGTACTCAAGCAGAGGTTATAAAACGTTTTGAGCACGTACTCAGCTGAGTACAAGTCACAGTCGGCTTGAGTATGCTCAAGGTACTCTTTGTTTATCACACAAGCGGCAATTTGGAACTCTTCTGTCAATAAAGGTAAGAAAAACGACCCGGCCGGATGTTGTCGTCTGCTATATTTACAATGGCAACGGAGGGCGTGCCCGAGTTGAAGAAACGTGGGAAAGGATGGTCGGAGACATTAAAGGGTGTGGAGTGAAGTCCATCCATCGACAGCGTACCGATGGATGGCAAGAAATCACAGACACCCTAAACGCGTAAGTTGTTCAACATCGTTCCATATTCTGTATTTACTGTTCCTCGAGAAAATATCACCAATGCCCTCAGCACTCACTACCATATTTTCCCAACAATGAAAATAATAAAAAATTATCTTAGTTTGTAAAGACAATAACGTTTCCAAAAACGAAACAATTTCGGCGATCTATGCGACTGTTCATAAGTTATGGCTACGGGATGAGTGGTTGATGAATTTCTTGGAGAAGCATGTACAATGGGAATGACTCCCAAACCCCCGACCACCAGTCAAAAACTTATGACTGGTCCCATTTGTTCATGTTGTTAACAATGAGATTATTGATTTATGCCTGGATCAGCTGTTCAAAGCAATGCCTGTATAGCGATGAATTTATTTACTGCTGACAAATGTCATTGTTAAATGAGATGAATATATATTGTGTGACCTGTATTGTGTGAAACTGTAACCTGTTCCCCATACCCCACCCACAAATGTATACTACCCATCAAAAGTTTAGACTCACTAGTGTAAATGTTGCCACTTACTTCAGTCAACTGTGTAAAACTAGATTTTGCAAAATATGCCATACTGTTTCAGGATACTGTTTACACATGAACTGATGTATTGCAAAACAAATCCATAACGTTGAAAAAAATTATTGTCATGAGTTTAATAAATGATGAAACTCAGTGAAAATTGGTGAATTCGTATCAAAACTTTACACCAAAATGCAGCTGTTCACATGCAAGATATCTGCACATTCTTTTCAGTAATTTGATGCATGATCCTCATGCAATTCATCTGAATAAGGTTTCCCCAAGTAAGTGGAGAAATTCATCCTCAATGTAAACACTTATATATTTTACACATAACATATTGTGAGTGCTTTAAGTGAGTCTAAACTTTTGATGGGTGGTATATATGTAACTGATCATTTGTGTGTGGAGATATCAAATTTGATAATAAAACTTGTATACTTTCAGTAGACACATCAATGCCAAACGAGAGACACTGGAGGTGAAGAAGAAGTATTTTAATCTGAAGCAAAGAGGTACTCTTTCACATTTGATGTAAATAGTAGTGGGTTTGTTTTTCATCCATGATTATGTATTAGGTACTTATTATTTAAATACAGAAAATTATTCTTAATCTCTCAATAAGACATGAACACATGTCGACGTAAGGATCATTGTTTATTATTCAGGTATAATCCAAATATAAAATATGTGTATTAATAAGTGAAGTTAACCTGCAATTTGTTTATTGTAGCTAAAGCAAAGATCGATGGCCTCAAAAGGTCAATGGCCGTTACTGGAGGAGGGCCTCCACCACGAGCACTAACAAGTGCAGATGAGGTGCTTTCCCAGTCATTGGAAGGGAGGCCAGGCATTCATGGCCTAGACCATGGCATTGACACTGATGGTAAGGAGTCTTTTTCCATATTTTTAAAGAATGATATCAATTTTGTGCAAACATTCAGATAATACTGCTGCCTGTGGTGAGACTTAAAACCTGGAACCTTTTCATTCTGATGACCAAACAAGGAATAAGAAAAACATTCTTGACACCACCATCATGGACAAATCAAGTACTGTCCGAGACAAATACAACAAGTACTACTTTTAAGACACAAAGCTTGCTATTCATGTGATCATAGTAAATAATACATTTGTTGTGTATTACATCGATTCCAAAGCATACAGGTAATGATTAATCTGTGTCAAATAATGTATTTGAAGACAATTACTCAGTCATAACATTTGAAGGTACAGGTATTTGTATGTAACAGTAATAAATTGAAAAAAGTTAAAATAGCTGAAAAATACATTTTGCTTTCCTATTTACAACAGATGCTTATGCCTGTGCAGATGAAACTGACACTGCAGCAGAAGGTAAAACAAACATTTTATGGTCTCTGAATACTATTTACATGTAATACAGTAATATACACATCTCATGTATAACATGAAACATCTGTAGTACTTGCTGGGTTGTTTCCCTTAAACTACATATTTCAAGAGCATAATTCCTAAAATCTCAACTAATAGTATTACCAATAACCTTTATTTTGTGAAAATATCAATTCCATTAATGTGAACAATATAAGTATACTGTCTTGGAAAAGATAAGTTATCTTTAATTCCTTGAATGTGAAAATGGTATTCATCTTTTACAGGCCCAGTAGGTGAAGAACCACAAGGTGAAAGGGCAGTGCCTCAACAGGAAAACCATTCAGATGGTACATTTGAAATGTTATACTAATATATGTAAAAAAACAAAATATGAACTAATGTGCATATTTCAGTATTGTCAAAGTTATGATTACACAATGCCATTTAGAAAGTGGTCAAATGTAACATATGTTATATGTGGAATTACACTTTCTTAGTAAAGTACAGATTCTAGTATCTTTTCAATTGAGTCCCATCCAGTATTCGAACCCACACCCTCAGAGTCAGGCACCTAATCACCAGCACACAATGCGGTAGCTGAATGGGTTATGCGGCTGACTTTGTGTGCTGGCGATTAGGTGCCTGACTCTGAGGGTGTGGGTTCGAATCCTGGATGGGACTCAATTGAAAAGATACTAGAATCTGTACTTTACTAAGAAAGTGTAATCCCACACATAACATATGTTACATTGTCAAAGTTGCAGTTTGGTTACCATAATACAAGTGCAATACTAGCAAACAGTAACATATTTGCATGGAATATCATCCCAAGTTGTCATTTTAACAGAACGTATGATAGAACATTGCTAGATAATTGACTTTACACTAAACATATCAAATGTCTGTTTCATTATGCTTACAGAGATAAAAAAAAGCCGGAAGCAGAGAAGAAATCAAGCTGAGGCAACATATCACAACACAATAGAGGACACTAAAAGAATCAAACTTGAACAAAAGAAGCTGCAAATGGAAATTGAAATGTTAGCAAAAAATCAAAAGAAATTAGATTCCGAAATTCAGTTGCTCCATGTCAGATCAATATACTATCAACTTAAGATAAATGCCGAATTTGGAGTGTCATTGGAACACTGTAAAACTGAAGAATAAATGACATCAAATTTTACTCAAGATTTTGTCTTACATTTTTAAGCAGAAATGTTTGAAATAGGAAAGTAAGAACTATTTCATCAAGAAGATGTAAATTGTAGTATTTCATCAGCCTAACCTTTAATTGAAACAGTATTTGCACCACTCTCCTGGTCCAGATGGTATTGCTGCAGAATTCATTAAGTCTACTAAGTACCATATTACTTCAGTTCTGTCAGTTGTTTTTAATAACATTTTTGACAGTATTGTATTCCCTCTAAAGGAATAGTGTTATACAATGTCAGCTCTATTCATGTATTTTTAGGGGTGACAATAATTTCTGCAGAGCAATATTACGCGCACAATCAATAAAAGGGATATTATTGTAATGAGGCAATGGTAGTATGATTAATGATTGAAAAATGTCCGAATAATGTGATGTCTCACATCAGCTCCATCATTTTGACCTGTAACTAATGGTACATAATTGTCATTAGCATTTGGTGTTGGAGGCACAAGATTTTCTTCATTATTAATTATATCACCCCTTTCAATCCCCAGATTGTGTAAGACAACACATGCAACAACATAGGTAACTGCATTCTTAGGTGTGGCCCGAAGCTCATTGTGCAGGCACTGAAACCGCCTTTTCAGAATGCCAAATGTCTGCTCAATGAGCACCCTTGTCCTGCACAAAGAACCATTATATCGCTCCTCGGCACGATTGGTTGGGTTCAGTAAAGGTGTCAGGAGGAACCAACGACATGGGTAGCCTGAGTCCCCCAGTAGAAAGCCAGTGTACTGTCCTTAAACAAACAAAAATTGAAAACTTGTAAAAGATGACAGCATAATGTATTAAGCGAAATGTGTAGATATAACATATGTGATATTTATTTCAGATATTAAGAATTGCAATGCTGAAATTATACATATTGTGTGAAATAACACTTTCAGCTGGAATACTTATAGTCATCTTGATTAAAGACAATGTTTATCATAGTATATCAACTGAAACTCAATTAAGTATCTACTACTTTCAGAACTAATCACTACTTTCACTCTACATATTAACCAATAATAACAATAACATTATTTGTAATATTTTGGCATTATATGTAAAACAACCCATCAACTATATCTTGCTTTTACTTGCACAAAATTGTTAGGTAAATGTTCTGAAATATAGGTTACCATTTTCAAATAGACGGCACAGTGTTGATGTCCGGAAGATGCGGCTGTCATGCACTGATCCGGGCCAGCTGGCGTTGCAACTGGTGATTTTAAAGTTTGCATCACAGCACATCTGTAGGATTTAAAACAGAAGTATTAAATATCATCTTTCCAAATGTACATATAAGAAATCACACCCAACACCTACACCATCTTCAAACGAACCCTAAACTCATTGTGTATGTTAAATTGTGTTATTCATATCGATAGTTACCTGAACATTTAGGGAATGGTAACCTCGACGGTTCACGAAGTCTCCCTCGTTTGCAGTCGGCCGCTGTATTCGGATAAAAGTACCGTCGATGCACCCAACGACATTCGGGAATCCTGCAAGTACAATATATCATAGTCTCACAATAGATAGCATATTTTATTTTTCAGTTTTAAACAGTTTTCATTCGCAACCAAAGCCCCAGATTAACATCATCGCTAAATTCTAAGGGTTTGTTGTTATCTGTGACACGTCCTCGACCCCTGACCCAATACACTGGCCAATCAAAATATCACTGACGCGAACCACACCAATGAAATCATTTATGTATGTTTAGATTGGGAAAACCCCATGCACGTACCTGCAATGTTGCTGAATGCCTCCTTTGCACGAACGGCGTCCCTTCCAACTGGAAACTGGATAAAATTCTTCGACAGTTCGGCTATTTTTACTGACACTGCCCGTATACATCTGCCCGCTGTTGATCTAGAAATGTTGAGACTGTCCCCAACCAACAGATGCATAGCGCCTGTCGCCAAAAAGCGAAGGCAGAGGAGTAGTTGCAACAGAGGTGGCAGTGAATAGTTCCGAGCTGTGTGTATGGGTAAATCCAGAAGCCCGAGCAAATATATTATTGTTCTTGGTCTAAAACGATACCTCTCAAACACTTCATCGATCTCGGAACACTCTCGGTACACGGGATGTCCGCAGAGCTTGCCGAATCTGAGCTGCCATTGTTGACATCGAACTCAGCGTTGAGCACGGTCCAGAGCATACTTGAGATCATAGCATTTCATGCTCAAGTTGAGCACGAAAACCTACTCAGAATTTTTAATAACCTCCATTTACCGAGTCTGAGTTTTGAGTTGAGCACGAAACTCGATTTGAGCATGAGATCGTACTCAAGACAGTTTTATAACCTCGGGGCCTGATCACAGTACTGCCATTAGACTTACAGTGCAGAGATGCCATAGCATTGTGACGTCATCAAGTTCATGACGTCATAGCATTGTGAGGGCAATATACAAAATCTACTGTCAATATGATATCTCCTAGGAATAAAAGACGTTGTTATCCAAAACGTTTGTTCTATGTAATAGACTACTTGTTACTTACAGGATACTGCCCGTTGTTTTGAAGTCGACTGTACAACATCGTGTTATCTGACCGTTGCGTCATAGCAGTTCCCTAAAACATTCATTGTTAACAGATTACAGTCGTTATTGAATGATATGACCCATGGAAAACCACTTTCTTTTCCTCATGAAATTACTGTTGGAAGGAGTAATTACACGATGAAAATGCTGCGTGAAGATTGCTTGCATATGGGGAAGTGAAATCACGCATGTGCCTGGCAGTTTACAGTATAACAATCAACTTTCGATTACCTGCTAATGTACAGAGAATCTCAACCGAGTGTCTTTTGATATCAAATATATCACCACGAGTCATCAAGTTCATGACGTCATAGCATTGTGAGGGCAATATACAAAATCTACTGCCATCAAGTTCATGACGTCATAGCATTGTGAGGGCAATATACAAAATCTACTGTCAATATGATATCTCCTAGGAATAAAAGACGTTGTTATCCAAAACGTTTGTTCTATGTAAAAGACTACTTGTTACTTACAGGATACTGCCCGTTGTTTTGAAGTCGACTGTACAACATCGTGTTGTCTGACCGTTGCGTCATAGCAGTTCCCTAAAACATTCATTGTTAACAGATTACAGTCGTTATTGGATGATATGACCCATGGAAAACCACTTTCTTTTCCTCATGAAATTACTGTTGGAAGGAGTAATTACACGATGAAAATGCTGCGTGAAGATTGCGTGCATATGGGGAAGTGAAATCACGCATGTGCCTGGCAGTTTACAGTATAACATTCAACTTTCGATTACCTGCTAATGTACAGAGAATCTCAACCGAGTGTCTTTTGATATCAAATATATCACCACGAGTTCAGAAAGTTACAAATATCCGAGGCTTGCCAGGGATATGTTTACTTTATCAACGAATGTTGATATATGTGATATCAGAAGACACGAAGGTGAGATTCTATTTATCATCAAAAATCACTTATTTTATTAGTTTCCAATAAAAAAATGAACATACCTGATCACAGTACTGCCATTAGACTTACAGTGCAGAGATGCCATAGCATTGTGACGTCATCAAGTTCATGACGTCATAGCATTGTGAGGGCAATATACAAAATCTACTTGCAATATTCATATCTCCTTGGATGATATGACCCATGGAAAACCAGGAAATTACTGGGAAATATTACAAAATCTACTGACGTTGTTATCCCTAAAACGTTTCCAAAACGTTTGTTCTATGTAAAAGACTACTTGTTACTTACAGGATACTGCCCGTTGTTTTGAAGTCGACTGTACAACATCGTGTTGTCTGACCGTTGCGTCATAGCAGTTCCCTAAAACATTCATTGTTAACAGATTACAGTCGTTATTGGATGATATGACCCATGGAAAACCACTTTCTTTTCCTCATGAAATTACTGTTGGAAGGAGTAATTACACGATGAAAATGCTGCGTGAAGATTGCGTGCATATGGGAAGTGAAATCACGCATGTGCCTGGCAGTTTACAGTATAACAATCAACTTTCGATTACCTGCTAATGTACAGAGAATCTCAACCGAGTGTCTTTTGATATCAAATATATCACCACGAGTCATCAAGTTCATGACGTCATAGCATTGTGAGGGCAATATACAAAATCTACTGTCAATATGATATCTCCTAGGAATAAAAGACGTTGTTATTTATCATCAAAAATCACTTATTTTATTAGTTTCCAATAAAAAATGAACATACAACAGTACTGCGTTTGTTCTACGTGTTCAACGTAGACTATTTATAAAATCTACTGTTATGATATCTCCTAGGAATAAAAAAGACGTTATGCAAACCGTTTGTTCTATGCAATAGACTATTTGTTAACATGTTAGCCACATTAACCCGTTTACCTGTATCTATCTGAATAATATCTTGTTCTTTAATAACACTGATGTCACGTTGAGTCAAATGACAACAAAGCTCAGTGCCAAATAACTCACTAATCCCTAAGTCAAGGAGTGAAGGAGGTCTGAAGACCATGACTCCTAAGTGCCCACATTCATACAATGATTTACCCACCACCAAGTTCTACACTCACATAGGTTTACTTTGTCTCAGTCCATCTCTCTTACTACAACGTCAGCACCAAGTTCTACACTCACATAGGTTTACTTTGTCTCAGTCCATCTCTCTTACTACAACGTCAACACCAAGTTCTACACTCACATAGGTTTACTTTGTCTCAGTCCATCTCTCTTACTACAACGTCAACACCAGGGTCTACACTCACATAGGTTTACTTTGTCTCAGTCCATCTCTCTTACTACAACGTCAGCATAAGGCAGAATAGGCTCGTCCCATAGTGGGGCGGCGATTTGTTTTAGTCCATTGAAAAGCTGTACCACTCTACTCGTGTAAAGGTATCGTTTTAAATAGATCCAGTCTGACCTGAACTGTATAAATTGTATGCTTCTCTCGAGGCATACCCTATTACCAGAGGGAGAAGTTTACAGCGTGTTATCTTACCGCCATGTTGAATGTACAAATATCATTTTATTTCATTTAGAAGATAGATAAGGTCGCTAACGACTGTATGACATGTAAACAAAATGGCGCCTGCCTCTCGACTGGATTTATATAAATCAGTGAAACACATTCTGACAAGCTTAAAACTGCTATAAAAAGGGTAAATTATGTTAAAGTTGTGTGTAAACGATTCAATGTATAAAAGTGTTTTAGAAAAGCAGTGGAAGTCGTTAAAATAAATGTGTACACGGTGAACCCAAAAACAGCTAATCCAACGGTTTTCGAACTCCGTGCACTGCATGCGTCATATTATGACGTCATACGATTGTTAACGATATAGTGAAGCGGCTAAGATCAATTTTTCATAAGAATTGTGCATTTGATGATAAAAGCACCAAAATCGGTCATCATATAAAAGAACATATCTGAAATACTTTCAGATATGGAGGCACCTCAAATTTTGTATTTTGTGCGCATGCACATTACATAAACTATGACATACTATTTTCAGCGTTTCCCCTTCGATCTTTAGTATTGCCATTCATTACACACCTATAATTTTCATAAATAGTGATTTACAGGTTCATGAAAAGACAAAAAATACATAATTTTAGAATAATACAAAACATTTTGAAATAATTAACTCTCCCTCTTCCCAAAATGGCGGCTTGCAGACAGCTTTATGGACTATTGAACTCTTTGAGAAAATGTGTGCATGCTTGGGATTTATCTGATTACAAATGACTGAAAATGAGCATAATGCGTGACAAAAGAAATGCAGCACAATAGAAAAAGTCTTGGGTATGCTTAACAATCAAAACCTATGTGATTATTCCCCAACTTCATGGCTCAAGGGCAAACAAAGGAGATACTTCAGATTGTCTTTCACAAGGGAGCAGTCATATTTTCCGGTACAAATCATACTTAATTTTGCTTATCTGATCTCATTTGCGAATAGTAGTGGAAAAAAAATCAAGTGCATGTGTTCCCCTTCAATAGAAAAAAACACATCTCACCCCAACACATTCCAAGCTGCATATGTGCAGCGGATGCACTTGACCAAGCCTGTGACTCTTCACACTGTCATATTAGTACCAACAGGGTTAGAATCGTATCATGAAGGGCCAACATCAATCTACGATGATAAATACCAGCTAACTTTGATTGCAGACGGGTTACCCCTGTCACGTCACCTTTTATACATGCTCACTCGCTTATACCCGGGAATTACCCATAAGCCCCATAGCTAGGCTGTAACATGCGCCGAGCAGAGTTCATAGCAGACGACATCAACAACCCATAGCTTCCCCATCGAAGGATCGTCCTCCTTCACCTTACCACCAACTGGAGCAACTTTGCAAGTCATCAATAACCAAAGCTACCAGAATGCAGTGTCTTCGCGGCTTGCTCAGCTTGATACTATTATCAGACAAGTCCTCCTGGGCCTCCAGGTCCAGGTCCATCAACAAGGCGATGATATCACACTTCAAAGACCCACAGTCCGACAAAGAGCGTATGCTTTTCTCCATGGTCATCCAGGAGAAGTACCAGGAGTCTATCTCCGACCAGATCTGCTCAGCATCGGCGGGACTCACCTTGCTACGTAGACAAGGAAGTATTGGCCAAAGTGGGACCTTCTGGAAGACCCATTCATCACACAAATCTTAAGGAGTAGATATACCATCCAGTGAACACGACACCACAGCGCCACTCTATCTTCCGCAGATACATTAGTAGTACTATTAGTTCCCCCACAACCACGCTTTTTCGTTCTGAATGGTTTCAGATTTCATTCGTGACGTTTCATAATGTATGGCACTTATCTAGAGCTATACTTATCCCTCATAAGTTTTAGCAAATATGAATGATCCATAGTCTCATTAGGAATGACAATGTAAATTCAGATGTATAACGTTATCTGCTCCCCATGAGTGCAGAATTGAAGTGAATGAATATAATCTTTTCACAGAAAAAAAAAGTATATTATATTATTTGAAAAAGACTATAGCATGAATCTCGCGCGGTGATCAACGCATTCAACATCGTTAACACAACTTTTTTGCCGAACTTCTTTGAGTGGTATTTAGAAGTTGGGAAGTACAATATAGAACAAACTTTATGGATAACAACGGTACAAGAATCTGTATCGAAACGTCGCACTCACGAATAAAAAGAAGTTGTTATCCATAAAGTTAGTTCTATATTGAACTTTTTGCCCAGCTGACTGTGTTGTTTTGGGGGTTTTTTTGTGCTATATTCCATTTCAAGAAAGTCTCCGCTACAATCAGTCGCGAGCGAGCATCAATGGATACGAAACTACAACATTATCACATTATCCGACGAACTATAAGTCAGAGCTGATATAAGTAAAATAAAGATATTAGGCATCGTTTTGTTGGCAACTGTAGCTACAGAACCGAAGCGATGTGATTTCACTTCTAGAACATACATGCATTGTAATTATGTACAACCATGTGATGTTTTCGAACAAAACAAAGTCTTTACCGAAAGCAACCGACTAGAAGGAGACAATTGGCCAATGAAATCAACAATCATCGATGGAAACATGTTTCCAAATTTGCACTTTGTGCAGCTGACTGACAGTGCCATAACATGTGAGATGGTGATCTATCCCAGGAAGACCAGATTACGAATCGGTGGTAGCGATTGCCCAAATCAGGTACTCTGTTTTTATCATTAGGATTAAATATCAATTGTTATTAATGAATAATACAACATGTCTTTTACAATACTTGTAACTGTTTCCAAATTACAATGATTAAAGTAATATTGGCTAAGAAAATATTAAGAATTACTAGTATGAGTTCCTATTACAATAATTAACAAACATGTTTTTTTATTTTTATGCAGTCAACTGAAAGAGCCACCAGCACATCATCAATCAATAAATCTCAGGAGTCACTTACACATCACCCATCAACTTTTTCATCTGTAAGTTGATAAAAAATTCACAAATAGATACATAATAAGTTAATATATAACTGTGTTTATAATATTTGCAATGTTGTAAACGCCATAAGCCCACCATCACCCGTGACCAAGGATACTTCATTCCATCAGCTTATGATCCACTCCTCCACCAAGCCCAATCTATTGTATAAACATCGCACCTATTGTATAAACATCTCATTGTAACTACTCCTGTATTTATACATCTCTGGCTTCCATTCACTATCCTTTGTGTACTCACTGGCTTCATCAGCTTACTGCTAAACCAATTATGGCAATTATGTTGTTTCCTCTGTCAATTACAATGTATGTTGTTTCATTGTTATATACAGTATATATATGCAGCTCCTCCACTTCATGTATCACTCTTGCTTGACAACGGTACAAGAATCTGTATCGAAACGTCGCACTCACGAAATAAAGAAGTTGTTATCCATAAAAACTTGTTCCATATTGACTTTATATGTTGTTGATATTGTTCTAAATCCTGTGTTTAGTACTCAAATGTACTTATTTAAGACATATCGAAAAACATACCTCTCACAACTAAATATTTATCTTGGATGTGTTGAATGTTGACTTTATATGTTGATATTCTTCTAAATCCTGTGTTTAGAACTCAAATGCACTTATTTAAGATATTCCGACAAAAACAAACAAAACAAACAAACAAAACAAAAACAAGACAAAACAAACTACCTCTCACAACTAAGAATTTATCTTGAATATTTCTGCTGATGTTTATATACATTTGAAGTTGATCATCCATAGAACACACCTTTTTCTGCAATTATGCTAATATTTAAGTCATACCAAAGAACTACCTCTCACAACTTAGTATTTATGTTAAGTATTACTGC